CTCGAACACAGCTGATTAAAATCTTTATGGTCAAAAGAAATTAGCAAATTATGGTAATTTGGTTCTGGGCTCCCATTCGACTAATATTTCCTCTAAAACCTATGTCAGTTATGGTATTACTTGATGAAAATATTGTATACGAAAAATATTCATATATAGAAAAAATACATGTATCTTATCAAGCCTTGTATTGCATAGCACGCTTGATTGACTTATGTAAACAAACATTACTTGGAAAAAACCAACTGACGTCATTGAATATATATAATCGATGTGAAGCTAAAATCATGATAATAGTTTCACATCGACATATAAGTACGTAAGATAGTCTGGCTCTAAGAGCAATTAAAAATATTACTATGTAAAATATGTTTATTAGTTAATGCAACTAGAGAAGACATACTTTAAGTAGAATCTTTTCTGAGAAGATCAGAGGGGTTGATCTCTACTCGAATCGAAATATTTGAATTTTCAAAAACATTTCGAAAATTTATTGATGTCTCTAATATTTTTCGGCTGTCAAAATATTCCTGTAGTCGATTTCCCCAAACAAATTTCTACTATGTCCTTGACTTTAAGGGAACTTATCTTTTTGAGCGAATAGTTAATGAAAAGAATATGTACTCTGGGAACAATCGTTTCGAACATACAAACTAGAGTCCGAAGACCAATTTTAGAACAAACAAAAAAGCTTCTTTTCAAAAAAACTACTTTATGAAATGCATTTCTTGATGTCAATTCTATTGTTAATCATGAAAAAATTGTGTACCCCATTCAAGAATTGTTGTACCCCTTTTTAGGTCTGACCGGATGGCAGCCCTGCATACAACGTATGCCAGAGAAATTGTCACGATTAGTATGTCTAAAACAAAACGACAAAAAGGCACAAACGTAGTCCGCAAGAGCCTGTCGTATGCTAGATATTAACGTTTCAAATTCAAACGACCTAATCAATGACGGTGAAGAATTAAGCTTACAAAAATGCTCGCTTATGTACGATCAATTCCCATGTAAAAAAATTAGACAAATAATCAGATTAAAATCGATTAAAAAGTGATTAAAAATCGATTTAAATCATACGCTTTTAATCGATTTTTCATTGAAAATAATCTGGAACGATAGATTTTCATCGATTTTAACAAATATTTTCGATTACAACCGATTAAAAATTGGTTAAAAATCGATTATAATCGATGGGCATTGTAAAAGGTTGGTTAGAAATGTCGTCTAGTTTTATAAGAAAAAATCAGTTAAAATCGATGTTTTTTTAACGAATTCAATCGATTATAATCGATTTTTGACCAACTTTTAATCGGTTGTAATCGAAAATAGTTGCTAAAATCGATGAAAATCTATCGTTCCAGATTATTTTCGATGAAAAATCGATTAAAAGCGTATGATTTAAATCGATTTTTAATCACTTTTTAATCGATTTTAATCAAAAAAATATTGATTTTCTCGTTAAATATTTTTACATGGGTTAATCTGACAAAAAATATGACTTTAAAAATTCGGTTTATCATTACTATATGAACAAATTCTTAGCACGTTTCAAAAGAAATAACCACTTTACATCTACATAAGGAACACCTACCTCTTCTCATACTCGATCAAAAAAAGCAACTTTTCGCACAATATAGAAAAGAAAAAATGAGAAAAAAATGCGTTATAGCTTTGTGCGCAGCGATATGAAGAATCGAATTAGGTGAAATATTCGTCTTTATCATTCACGTGGAAAAAGTACATAGGCTTAAAAAACTGACTAATGGATAATAAGATCGATAATATTGAGGATGTCATCATCGACAAACTCTAAAGTTTATAGAATTAGAAGAAATTAGTTTCAAAATGAAAAACATAAAACAAATTTTGTAAAGTTTTTTGCATTTTGATAAAGGAAACTGGCACATTTCAGTATTTCGAGTTTTTCAACTGGAGGAAAGTTTTGATCATGACTAAAAAGTACATATATTGGCGATCAGCGCTAAGATCTCCATCGAATTATGCAAAAAAAAGCGACAAATCATACTTTTACTCGCCGTTCGAGTAGTGAACACCTAACCTGTGACACTTGACTATGTGATGAGTCGCAACGAAAAACAAATTGAATGATGCAACTGCTATTTCTAGTGTTGCTGATGAAAATCTAAAATAGAGCGTAAGTGTACATAGAATAAATATAGTATACATATACATGACTCATGAAGGAAGCGGTATACGAGACGAATAATAACTTATCTCAAAAGAGGTCATAGTGTTGAATTGTTTGAGTCAATTTTAAAATTGGCAATATTCTTGAAAAGCTGTTATAATTAAAAGCAAAGTGTATTTTGTACACTTGCCACTAGAAACATAGGCTGTTTCCGGTAATGACGACTATTATATGAATTCACTCAACATTAATTTTTCTTTTTGTTTTTTAGTGTAGTCTTGGTGTGTAAGTGACTACACCGATCTATAGTTTCTTTAATGTACAATTCCAGATTAATAGATGGCACCATGGCGTAATAGCGAGCAGACGTTTGCCTGAAGGAAAACATTGAGTATAGAAAACAATAAAGAGACATGCATATCTTCGAGTATTATTTTTCACTAATAAATCTTGTTGTAACTCTTTCATCATCCATAAACTTGATTTTATATAATCTGCTCGGAGCTAAATTCTTTATTATAACTGACAAAAATTTTAATCTTGTTACTTTTAATATCTGTTCTGAAAGTATGGCGAAAAAGAAACAAATATCGAAATGAGAGTGTACATCGCAGATGATTCACAATATACTTTGCACAGACTATGACAGATATTCATTTGAACATTGAAAAATTC